CCCCCCCCCCCCCCCCCAGACACACCCTTTTCTCCTCGCTCCTCGACAACGCATCGCGACAGGCACTGCCAATCAGTGGATTGCCGCGAGCCGAGCTTGGCCCATCGGCCTGGAGGGCCAATCGAGTATCGGCACTGACACTGGCAACATCACCTTCGCAGAGAAGCGGGGGGGAGACTTGCTCGGCCTTGCATGCGGACCCCCACCCGCGTCCGTATGATCAGCGCTGCTCTTGTGGCCTCCACTGTCTTAACAAAACAGGACCGGCATGCGGCCCCGGCGAGAGGCGCAGAGACCGGACCTTGGGGCCCAGGGAACGGGGACAAGGTCGAGGATGGACCGAGGCCGCGGCCAAGAGACAATATCCTGCGACGATGGCATGACGGAAACCCCGCGTGAGGGGTCTCCCGGCGGCAGGAGGGCCGGCTCGACAGGCAGGAGAACACGGCGTAAGGCCCACAATGGGCGCAAATCTCGCGAGTGCCCCGTTTGCCGGCGACAAGACGTCCACACGGATGAATCACCGTTTGCATTGTGCTGTGTATTGAGGGGGGAAGGGAGGGGGCGAAGCAGAGAGAGGGAGGGAGAGGGAGGGAAAGATATATATAGAGAGATAGAGAGATAGAGAGATAGATAGGTGGACAGGAACAGCGATGGAGAGGGAAGAGGGATGTGCATCGGAAAGCGTGTGTGCGTGTGTGTGCGTGTGTGTGCGTGTGTGTGCGTGTGTGGGTTGGTGCGCGGGCGTGCACGCATCGGGGCAATCCCCAGAAGGAAGGGAAAAGACCCCACAGGGCCCTTCCCCGGCGCGCCTCCGATGGATGACGCACGGGCTAAGAGGCGAAGGGGGCCTCCTCTCGCACCGACACATTGCCACACCGGCCACACACCGGCCACACACACGCACACGCACACGCGAATACACGCACAACATGCCTGCCTCCCCGCCTTCATGGGGATGGCCCTTCTTTGCCCTACACGCCGCCAGTCTCGGCACGGACGGCCGCCAGGACGGTACGCGCGTCAGAGAAACGCGACACACCCAGGTCCAGCAGGGTCTGGAGATCCATCAGCGCCAGGGACCGACCGTTGAGCTGGGCATTGTGCACGGCCAGCAGCTCGCCGACCTTGCCGCCGACCTTGGACCGCAGCCACTCGGCGGCGGCCGCCGAATCCAGGCTGTACAGGCCGCCAGTCGGCGGCGCGCTGCCGGACAGCACCGACCGCGCGTGCAGCATCAGCTTGCTGGCCGCATTGACCGGCATGCCAATGTAACGATGCAGGAAAGACAGAGTCAGATCCTCGAGGCCGATACCATCGATGCTGTGGGCCACAAAGAGCGGCGCATAGCTCGACAGGCGGAGCTCCTCCAGCCAGAAGGTGATGTCGCGCGCGGTCAGGGTCTTGATGCCCTGGCTGCTCTGGCTGTCGTAGTACTCCAGGGCCGCCTCGAGCTCCTTGAGCCGGCGACGGTTGGTCTCCAGCAGGTGGTTGTACGCCGGGTCGCTGATGGTGCTCTTGATGTAGTCGATCTCCTGGGTGAGCTTGGTCACCATGATCTCAATGGTCTTCTTCTGCTTGCGAACATGGTTCAGGCGCTCCTTCAGGCTCTTCTCCTCCTCGGTGTAGGCGGTGATCTTGCCGGTCTGCTCGTCGATGGAGGCCTGCAGCGAGTCGATCTTGCTGTTGATGGCGGCCGCCTCGCTGAACTGGCGCTCAACGATCTGGCTGATGATGCTGTGGCTCTCGCGAGTGGAAATACCCCAGATGAGGCCAGACACGGAGAGCTATGGGGTTTTTTTTTTGGTCATGACACCGGGGGGCGGAGGGGGAGGAGAGAGAGAGAGAGAGAGAGGGGGGGGGAGGGAGGGAGGAGGTGAGGGAGGAGGTGAGGGAGGAGGAAGAGACAGGAAGAAAAGGAGAGAAGGGAGGAGCGAGGCAGAAAGGCCGAGCATGAGCAAAGACAAGAGCCCAGGCATGAGCGAATGACACACGATGAGGAGGAGAATGGAAAATGGAGCGCGGAGAAAATGAAAAAACATCACAAGGACAAAAGGCCAAACACACCTGCTTGGAGTAGTGACCCAGGGAGTTGTGCCAGATGGAAGCCGGGCCGGAAGCCGGACCACCGGAGCACACACCATACAGATTGCCGGAGGGATGCAGGGAGAAGCCCTTGACACCGCCGATGCCGGTCAGCTGGGCGACATGGCCCTTGAACTCGAAGCCGTCGCTCGGGTGCAGCAGCGCCACCGACCCGTTGGACAGGGCCACATGCAGGGTCTGGGACTCATTGTTGAAGGAGATGGACACGATGCCGGCCTGCTGGCCAAGCTGGATGGTCCGGAAGGGCGAGTAGCGCCCGGTCTCGGCGCCATGCTGCCAGATCATCACCCGGCCGCCATCAAGACCGGCCGCCAGGAAGCGCGTCGGAGTGCTGAAGGCAATCGAGATCACCTTCGACGAGGCCGGGTCGATGGGCAGATCGTCCAGCGTGAGGGCCATGAGCACGTCGATGACATGCACATGGGACTTGGTGCCGATGGCCACGGCCGTGCTGCAATGCGAGCCAGCAATCGCCTGGATGGGGTTCTCAACGGTCTGCGCTCGAACGGAGGATAGCATGAGGCGGGCGGGGAGAAAGGAAAAGAAGAAACATCAAGGGAAGAGCAGGTGAGTCAAGGTACTCGAGCACATGTACATGCACAGGCGTCCGCGCAAATACACAAGCATGTGCCCAGACACAGATACACGCAGATGTGCACAGATGCATGCAGATGTGCACAGATACACGCAGATGTGTAAAGATGCATGCAGATGTGCACAGATACACGCAGATGTGTAAAGATGCATGCAAATGTGTACAGACACACATGCACACACACACACACACACATGCGCACACATACATACACACACACATGCACAGACACACATACATACACACACACATGCACACACACACACACACACACACACACGCTTGCATGCTTGCGAAAAGAAATGACAGACACAGAGTAAGCAGACGACGCACCTTAAACACGCTCGGGCAACCGGCCTGCCCGGTGTCAGCCGGGCTGGACGGAGTCAGGCCCTTGGTGCCGGGCTCCTGCGAGACACCGACACGCAGGCCACCCTCGGTGCCGGACCAGGAGTGCCGCAGCAGAACACCCCGCTGGGGGTTGGTGGGGACCAGGAAGAGAGAGCTGCCATCACGCGAGAAGAGAACCTTCTCCGCCGAGCACTTAATCACCAGCGAAGGCTCCTTCATGCCGACGCGGAAGATGACCGTCTCCAGGGAGTTGGCAATGGCAAGAGCCGAGCCATCGGCAATCAGGGAGATCGACCGCGGCGAGGTGAAGACATTGGAGCTGGCGTAGGTGTCCATCAGCTCCGCCGAGGCGGTGGTGGAGTTCCACAGGTTCCACATGGCCACCGGCACCGTGGCACCGGCCGACCCGGGAACACCCTGCAGCACGGCGGCGTAGCGACCATCCGCAGAGAAGTCAATCTGGCAATAGGAGTTGGCCTGGATCCGGGGTACATGCCAATGGTCAGTCCGGGAAGCAGGCGCGGAGATGGGCCAGGGACCACCGGGAGAAGGGGGGGGCACAATGAGAATGAGGCAAAGCGGAGCTCCAGGCCGGCGGACAGGCCGCGTGGGCCACACAATGCACACGTACCGAGTCGGTGGTCGGCCGGCGGACCCAGTCCAGAAGGCTGCCGCCATCGGCCTGACCGCCGCCCAGGCTCAGGGAGGTGGTCGACTGCGAGGTGACGAAGGGGCTGCAAGACACCGGGGCCGAGGGGACCTCATGCGACTCCAGCGACAGAACCGGGTGCCAGTCATTCGACCCGACGGAGCTCGGCACACCATCCAGATAGACAATGGACGGGGCCGTGCCGTTGGCGATGATCGAGTGACCGGGGACGATGGCGGTGGCCGGACCGCCGGCACCAGCACGACGGATCTGCTCCACGTCGGAGCGGGCGGCGTTGGCCGAAGCGCCACCGGCGGCGGCGGCGGCGACAACCGGCTCACCCTTGGCCGGGGCCGGGGCGGGCGACGCAACCGCGGTGGCCATAGACAGGGCCAGCAGGGCCAGCGCCACGGCCAGCGCCATGGATGCCAGACGGCGGCTCGGCGAGGAGGAGCCGCTCTGTTTCCACAAAAGGGGGGGTGGGGGGGGGGGGGGACCGGGAAGCAGGGCAGAGCGTGAGCCAAGCGCGCGGGCACAATCGGGCGAGAAGGGACGGCACAGCGGAGAGGGAGTACCATTTGAGGGGACACAAACACCCGAGCAGAGCCAGACGGGGAGGAGTAACAAACAGGGAGGTGGGGAAGACGACGAGGCGAGGAGGGACGATGGCACAGGGAGCAGGCAGGAGAGGGCGGGAAGGAGGGAGGAAGAGGGGAGGTTGCCTTGTGGTGGATGCTGGGCGGCGGAAGCGAGGTGGCACTGGCCCTTGAGCGGAGTGACGGGGCCCCGGCCGGGGCGGACATTGCGCCTGCCCGAGCGCCCGCATGCGCGCCCACACACGGACGTGCGTGCAGCATGTGTGGAGGAGCACACCGCCGCGCGGCGAGCCAGGATAACGGTCCTGACACCCGGCCCCGGCAGATCGGTCAGGGCGAACGTCGTCACCCCGGGAAGAAAAACCCGGCCGAGGGGCAGGCAGGCGCCGCGTGCGCGTGCCCTGTTTGCGCGCCCACGCACGCGCCCGGCCATGAGCGCGACTAGGCAGTAGGGTAGACCCCGATACAGCCCCCTCCCCCCGCCCGCCCGCCCGTGTATCTAGTCCGCCTCCTGGCCAGACCCCCCGGGATTGGTGGGCTAATGTATACGCGGGCACCCTACAATATGGCACACCCGACGCCCCCCTCGCCCTCCCTCCCCCCCCCCCACGCGAGGGCTCGGCAGGCTGAGGGGCGGGGGGGAAGTGCATTTCACCTAGCCACCTCGGATGCCCCCTGGCTAGCGGCGAGGGAGGAATGCGAAACCGTTTCTTCCTTTCCGTGGCGAATGTAGCGCGTGATTGATTCCCGATCAGACGACCACGATAGCCGAAGCGTAGCGAGACTGGTGATCCAGATGAGTGGTCTCGTGACCCTCCCGCGGCTAATTGCCGAGAGAGACATTCAGCGCGTTGGCGCATCATCCGCCCGGGCCCTCCCCCCCTCTCTCTCTCTCTCTCTCTCCCTTGGTGCGAAGAAGAATGGAGGAAACCCCGGAGAAAAAAAGGCCACCAGGGGCGTGGGCGGCGGGCGACACACCGCAATGTGGCATCAGAAAAAATAAGGAGGGGTGAGGGGTGCATTTTGCGGGCCACCCTGAGCTCCAGGAACAAGGAGGAGGGGGGGACAGGGGAATTATTTGTATAAATAGCTGTGGATATTACAAAGCTGAGAGAGCGATGCGCGCACGCGCGCATGGTGCGCGCGCACACACACACACACACACAGTGCCACCTTCATGACAAAGACGCAGCACATCGGGGGGGAGCAAGAAAAAGCGGCGACCAAGCGAAAAGGGGGGGCCCGTCGCCTCTCCCTCTCTCCCTCTCTCCCTCTCTCTCAACGGCGATCGGCGGCGAAGAAGGGGTTGGAACGGATACTGCCCGGAGCCACCACCGAAGCCACCTCGGCCGGGGGGGAGGAGGCGCGCGGCCGCTGCGGCGCGCCATCATCCAGCGGACTGCTGGGAGCCCGCGACGCGGCGGTGGCCACCGCCGAAGAAGCCCCCACCGCCGCCGAGGCACCTGCCCGCCCAACGCCACCGGGAGTCACGGCACCGGACTGCGTCAGGAGGAAGGTCCGAACCGGGGCACTGAGCGACACGGTGGCCGGGTGCCCAAGAACCACCTGCATATAGCGGTTCAGATCGCGCGCCAGGCGCCGATGCGCCAGGCGCTGGTGGTGCGTGATGGCTGGCCGGGCGGCGGCGCCGTCCGACCCGGCGGCCCCATCCCCCCCGATCATGGAAGGCTTGCGCGTGCGTGGGCCAATCACATCGCTGAAGCTCTCCTGCGAGTCGATGAGAGTCGCCGGCCGCGTGGGCAGGTCCGGCAGGGTGCGCCCCGTCCGCGAGGAGGACACCCGTCCAGCCTCCGAGGGGAAGCTCGTGACCAGGGCCACATGCAGCGCATAGAAGTCCCGATAGAGCTTGTTCACCGAGAGGGTGTTCTTGCTGCCGTCCTCATGGGTGACATTCACCGACAGGATGTACGTCTGCGTGCGCGCATGTCCGTGTCCGTGTCCGTGTCCGTGTCCGTATTGGAGGGGGGGGGGGAGGAGCAAAGAATTAGCCAGCGGGAAAGAGGCCGAGACACACGGAACAGCTGCCGGGAGGGACATCGGGAAAGAAGGAGGATGCCTGGTGGACGCAAGGGAGGAGAACGCACGTCAAGGTTGTCGGCCATATCGCCCTCGGCCACGGTAGCCACAAGAGAGGTGATGGTCTTGTCTGAAACGGTCGCCGCCGCCGCCGCCGGGGTGCCACCTGCAGCAGCGCGAGAGGCTCCGCCACTGGATGCGGCAGTCACGCCGCCGGCGGTGCCGCCAGAGGACGCCATCATCGACCGGCGGTACGACTCATTGCGCTGCAGACCAGCAGCAGGGCCACTGCTCTCGCTGATGGACGCCCGGCGGTTGACGGCAGCGATCATCTCCGACACGGGGCGCCGCCCGGCCGCCGCGGCAGCCGCATCAGCAGGAGGACCCCCCACCGGCTTGGCACGCGGCTCCATGGTGGCCATCGCTCCGATCCCGGTTGCCAGGCCATCGCCCGGGCCCGGGGCCCCGGTCGACTTGACGGCCACCGGCGCGGTGGACGAGCGTGTGGCCGGCGCCGCTGCGGTGGCAGCCGACGCGGCCTCCGCCTTGACGCCGACGTCGGACGCGGCAACCGGCGCATCGCCCGCCTTGCCGGAGCCCGGGGCGGGCGCCTCGGCGCTGGTAGGGGTGGCTGGCACTGGCGTCTGCGCTCCAGCCGGCAGTGGGTCCGAGATGGCGGGCACGCCGGACCGACGCTTCTTGCCGGACTTCTTGTCGAGCTTCTCCTGCTTCTTGGCCCGCTTGGCATCGGCCGCCGCCGCGGCAGCCTCATCCGTGGGGATGGTTTCGGAGGAGTTGAACATCTGCTCGGCACGCGAGGCGACCGAGGGCACACGCACGGGGGGAGGAAGAGGAGGAGGAGGAGGAGAAGGAGGTGGGGGGGGAGAGAGGGAGACGGACAACAGAGGGCAAAGGGGGGGGGGGGAGGGGAAGAGAGAAAGGTCAGGGAAGAGAGGGAGAGAGGGAGGGGGAGAGAACAAGCGAGCCGACAGGGGACGGGGAGGGGGAAACCACCGAAGGCCTTGTCGCCCACCACCGAGCATGGGCCCCGCGCACCGATTTGAAGGAGGACCACCAGCCGGACTGCGTGCGCGGCGATGCCAGAGCCGGAGGAGGCGACGAGGGGCTCGAAGAGGGGCTCATGGAGGAGGGCGAAGTGCCGGCGGCGGTGGACGCAGTGGCTTCGATGCTCGGCGGCGCCGGGCGATCCGTTGCCTTGGCCGCCGTGGCGTCCGGCGGCGGGGCCGGCTCCTCGGCCGATGAGGTCGACGCGGTCAGGTTGGCCGCCAGCGGCGGAGGCCCCGAGGTCGGCATGTCGGCCGCCGTGTCCGGCCCGGTGGCCGAATAGACCGATCGCCGGAGCTGGCTCCGGACCTTCAGGAACTCGGGGACGTCATCCGAGGCAGACCCGGCATCGGCCGTCTGGAAGGAGCTGGTGCTGGTGAAGGGGCAAGGGAGGGAAAAAAAACAATCCACAAAGAGCAAGAGAGACACGTTAGCCGCTGGACGGACACAGACACACAGACACACACACACACACACACAGGAGGAACAGCCCGACAACAACCATGGCATGCATGGGACGGCACGGTTGGCACGCACGCTGACTGGACCGAGCTGTGAGACGGAGTCCGGGTGCTGAGGACCGGCGAGGCGACCGGCGCCGGGCCTGGCGCATCGGGCGACTCGGCCGTCGCGACGAGAGAGGTAGCCGCAACGGCGGCGGCAGCGGCCGCGGCCGCGGCCGCTGCCCGGGCATTGCTCTCCTGGTCCAGATCCACGACATCACTGCCGCCCTCACTGACCAGGTCCTCATCGAAGGTCTCATCCTCACCGTCATCGAGCGACGCAAAGCCGGCCTCACGCTCGAAGGCGCTGCGCTCGACCTCCTCCTCGGCCAGGCGGATCATCTCCGGCAGGACACGCGCGCAGATGGGCGCCCGGGTGAACATGATGTAGTACACCGCATGCGCCGCATGGACCAATTGCAGGCCCTGGTCGGACACGGGACAGGCCACAACCGAGGCGCACTCTAGCGGCACACGCGCCAGCAGGCGGAGCTGCTCATCGCCCGAGGGGCTGGCCCCGATGCCGGACGACCCGGTCACATGGATCAACAAGGCCAGATCATTGAACAGGTACAGGCGCTTGTCGAACACCGGGCCCGAGCCGGTGGGCGGGTCCGTGGGCGGAGCCTTCAGCAGGGCGATGGTCTCCTCGGCGATGAATCGCCGCGTGGGGGTGAGGATGTCGGCCAGCTGCATCATCGCACGGGGAAGGACAGGCGGTCCCAAGAAAACCGCATGCTCGGTCAGTCGAAAGGGAGGGGGGGGGGGGGAACGAAAAGAGACAATGCGCCGCCGACAGCGCCATGCCCGGCAAATGTGCCCGCGGGAAAGAAAAAAAAAGGGGG